AGCTGAGATGTATATTTTTGGATTACAACAATTTAACAGATTTCTCTTTAGCAGCAATTTTCTACCAGTATGCTGCAAGAACTTTTAAAACATGCAATACCTGGCTGTTTAGTCAGGGGCACTGATCTCTTTTCTCTTAGACTGTCAAATTTTAAAAAATCACAACAGCCATCTGGTGTGAATAAGTCAAATTATACCTGTTGTTGTTGTTTTTTGTCAGATCGGAAAAATATGTATTTTTTTGGTGTGCCACAGAATTTTAGTAATTAGTTTATATGTGCTATGAAATGAAAAAGTTGCAAATTGTTGCCCTATAGTGTTGGTTGTGAATAGGTATGAAGCACACAGCAGAATGGAAATGGTGAAATGAGACATCATAATGCTAATCTCAAAGTCTTGGCAGAATAAATTTTAACATGTATTTTTAGCTCTTCTTAAAACTGAAAAATAGCTTCAACATTCACATGCATCCTAATAAATGTTGAGATTTAAGCACTTTTAGTATATATTTATACTTGTTCAGAATTTTTCCTGAAGATTTGTAAGATAATTCATGTTCTTTCAAGGAGAACATTAGGGATATATAAATGATGATTTCCAACTGGAAGTAGAAAAATAACAGAGTATTATTTGTGGTAGCATTTTCTCCAATCTCATGCCATTTTCTGTTATTAGCAGTTTTGCTGTGTTTCTAGTTCCTTGGTAAATTTTCTTGATATCCACGATTATAGAATCTTGTGATGCTTAATGTTCATTAAGTGTTAAGGGGCCTTAGCGTTTAGGCCAAGGGGGTAGGAGCATTTCTTACAATTCAAAGATTTTTGTGTGTCTGTGTTAGACTTTCTTAATGTTTATTCAGAAGCATGTCATGTTTGAATAATCCAAATTAGTTAATTACTTAAGCACCTGAGCTAGAGGATTTGAGATCTGTTTTATCTTTCTGATTCTTTGAGTATATTATTAGACTAACTCCTCCACCTATGTTTTTAGCTTCCCTATCTTGAGGGTAAAATGCAAGTAATAGAAAAAAACCAAAATGTTATTGTTGTCGTGGTGTGAATAACTACATCCTGTTGATCACATGACAATCAGTTCCTGTCTTATAATGTCCAACCTAGTATGGCTCTCTTAACCATAATCCCTTCAATTAGTGTTTAAATACGTTTTTAAAAACCCTAGGTATACTTGTGATAATTTTTTTCCTAATTGTTTAAAAGATAACTAGCATTTTCCCTTTCAGCTGGGGCCAAAACTGAGCTGTGCAAGAGGCTTCTGTCTCATTGACAGTGAAGCAGTGAAATCCCATGGGCTCAGGCCTGTAAATCATCTCCTGGGTTGCCTGGATATGCTCAGTAAATGCTCGATTCTGTCTATATCTTTCAAATGGGTCACTTGCTAAGCAGATTCCTGCAACTTTGGCAGATGCTTTGGATCTTTAGGAAGAATATAAGGGCTTGATATAGGCACCTTGAGAAGGGGGGTGCACCAGACTCGGCAGACACTAAACCTCCCTTGGCGCTTCTCAGAAAAACAAAAATCAGCTGCCTCCTGCACACCGCCTACTGGGGATGTGCCCGCAACCAAGGTACATGCCCTTGACCGGAATTGAACCTGGGACTCTTGAGTCCACAGGCCGACACTCTATCCACTGAGCCAAACCAGTTAGGGCTAGGGTTCAATTCTTAACACAATTAGCACATACACTGAATTTTACTATGTGCCACGTGTTGTAGATAAAAGCATGAAAAAGTAGGCAGGTTTTACTTCCCCTCAGAGAGGAGCTCAAAGCAAAGGTAACCATATGTCCCAGTTTGTCTGATAAATTATTTGATTAAGTTACTAAGGAGGAAGACAGGTATTCAGAAACTAGAGGATATAATTGGGGGGCGGGGGGGGGTGACTCTGAAGAGGAGACCTGAAGTACAGAAAAAAGTATTGATGAAAAAGGGTCATGCTCTCACTGACCTCAGGGTCTTTGCACTTGCCCTTTTTCCCCTCTGCTGGGAGGGAGGATACTCTCACATCCTATCCTCTTCCCCCTCAACATTGTTACTACAGGTAAAGTAGACTGTTTTGCAAACAACAGGTAGCAATTCTTGAGTCATAAAATTAATTTAATGAATAGTAATTCAATTAAAAATATACATATCTATATATATAAAAACCTAAGTGACCGCCCAACCATTCGACCATCTGACTGGTAGCTATGACACACAATGACCACCAGGGGGAAGACGCTCAACGCAGGAGTTGAGATGCCCAGCTGCAGTGACTTGGCAGCTGCGGTTCTCAGGTGATGCACCCGGAACCAGAGAGGAGGGAGCCCAATTCTGGGGTGTGTTACCCGAGAACTGCCCTCTTGCAATCCAGGACCCCTCGGGAATGTCGGAGAGCTGGTTTCAAAAAACCTTTTATTTGTATATGTGTGTGGTGTGTACTTAGTCACAATATAAAATGTACTTCTAACTGTAGATCATGGTCAAAAAAATTTTTTTAGACATTTTGTCTAGAACAAGTAGAAATGAAATCATCTACTACCTTGACCTTCTTTATGATACTGCATTTCTAATTATTTACTTAATGTCACTATTCCTCTAGTGAGTAGACTGGGAATGTGGCTCAAGCTAATAAGGGACCAGATTATTCAAGCCTTTTTAAGGATTTTAGATTCTACCCTAAGATAAATGGAAAATGACTGAACTGTTAGATATTTTTTGTTTAGCTACATTTTATTTATCTTTAACTGTGATTAAATATAAAGGGAATTGGGAACTAGGATTGAATGAGGGCTTTCTGGTAAATGTTCTATTCCTTTAATAAACATTTTTTGATTATATACTAGGTTTCAGGAATAGGTTTATAGTCTATACTCTTATCTGAAAAACAGGTTTAATAATACTTATGGAGTTACTGTGAACATTACGTAAGTTTAGCATATTATGTACACAGTCAAGAGATATTTTAGTGACCTTTTCATTACTTGCACCTCTTTAGGACCACAGCCTGAAAGGAAGATGCCTTGTTTTGATGATAATGTTAGTTATACAATTACCAGAATAAATAAAATAAGTTGAGAATGATAGCTAATTTAATTTCCCTGTATTTGAAAAGAAGGTAGCTACTACTCTCATTTATTTGAAAAGAAGGTAGCTACTACTATCATTTTTTTAAAAAACACCAGGCTATTGCCATAGGAGAATATGATGATGACATAATTCTGAAATGGTAAAGTTATGTCAGAATGAGTTTTTTAAAAACATGTTTTTAATGACTTTTTAGAGAGAGAGGAAGGGAGAGGGAGAGAGAAACATCAATCAGCTGCCTCCTGCACACCTCCTACTGGGCACTGAACCTGCAACCCAGGCATGTGCCCCACAGGGAATCAAACTGGTGACCTCTCAGTGCATGGGATGATGCTCAACCAACCGAGCCATGCCAGCAAGGGCCAGAATGAATTTTTTAAATAATTGAACATGGGATCCTTCCATTTTTCCGTCCCCTGCCCCTAAATGTAATATTATTTATCTGACCACATTTCTTTTTGAGGGCAGAAAACGTCAACATGGAGTAATATTTCCACTTATTTCTATTAATTTCCCTTCCCCCTTCAGATTTCACCACCCAATCCTCAGCCCTTTGGAAAGCAGTTTCCAGCTGGAAGTCGATGTCCTGAGTCATCTCCTGAAAGCCCAGGCTCAGGTCTCAGAGTGGAAGTTCCTGCCGTCTCTGGTTAACTTGCACAGCGCTCACACCAAGCTGCAGACCTGGGGCCAGATCTTTGAAAAGCAGCGGGAGACCAAGAAACATCTGTTTGGAGGGCAGTCTCAGAAGGCCGTTCAGCCCCCACACCTTTTCCTTTGGCTGATGAAACTCAAAAACATGCTTCTTGCCAAATTTAGTTTCTACTTTCATGAGGCACTGAGCCGACAAACGACTGCTTCAGAAATGAAAACGTTGACGGCAAAAGCCAACCCAGACCTGTTTGGAAAGATTTCCAGCTTCATCAGGAAGTACGATGCTGCCAACGTGTCTTTAATCTTTGATAACCGAGGGTCTGAGAGCTTTCAGGGTCACGGCTATCACCACCCCCATTCCTACAGGGAGGCCCCCAAGGTGTGGACCAGTATCCAGCCGTGGTGTCTCTGCCCAGCGACAGGCCTGTCATGCACTGGCCCAACGTCATCATGATCATGACGGACCGCACCTCCGACCTGAACAGCTTGGAGAAAGTGGTTCACTTCTACGATGACAAAGTTCAGAGCACCTACTTCCTAACCCGCCCAGAACCCCACTTTACCATTGTCGTCATTTTTGAGTCAAAGAAATCTGAGAGAGACTCCCACTTTATTTCCTTCCTCAATGAGCTCTCACTGGCCCTTAAGAACCCCAAGGTTTTTGCAAGTCTGAAACCTGGATCCAAAGGTTAGCAGGTTCTCTGTGCGAAAGGTTTTCAAGAGAAGAAATTGTGTTCTTAATTGCTCTAATGATCTACAGTGGGCTGTGATTAGGGTTTCGATCCATCCATGCTTCTTTCAGAGCTAAAAGACAAAGCCTCCCTAATTGTGTCGCACACTTTATATGCAATTAAGGCCCATTAAGTAAAGTATCCAAAGGGTAATCTAGGCTACAGTATATCTCCATGGTACAGCAAAGTACTCTCAGTATTTTCTCCTGTTTTCCTGTATTTTATGTAGACTGAATATTTATTAGCCTTTGATGTTTCTTTCCAGATGTTTCTTTCCAGACATTTTATATTCCAAACATTGTGTTCTAATGCCATTCCAAACGCCCTCTCCTTTCCCCTCCCACCCAGATGAGTAATTGGGATAAGATAGTAAATGGCCATTTTAGAATTAAGGATTATATGTTTCCTATCTCATAAACTAGCCAGTTAACATGAAGTTACTAGTTTTATGATTCCGATCTACAAATGAATATTTTTGATGCCAAAATTAGAGTCTTGGTGAGAAATGTCCGCCAGTTATTAAAGTTGAAGGTAAATCGCTTCTCGGCCTTTTGGCTAAGATCAAGTGTAGTATCTGTTCTTATCAGTTTAAAGTTGAAGGTAAATCAGAATAGTAGGATAACATCAGATCTTACCAGTTCAGAAGATCCTATGGCAACTTTAATAGCCATGGGTTCTTTTGGGGTGATCTACACACCTAACTGCATTTGTTTTTACCCTTATAAAGTTTGAATGTTTCACTCTATTTTAAAGTCAGCATAAGCCGTTATGTGGGATATTTTCACAGAGTATCTGCTTGGCTTTCTGTTTATCACCTTTCTGCTGAAATGTATGTTCATATTTGGCTCTACCCTTGGTTATTTTTAGGCTGAAAAAGCATGCAGTCTTGGTTTTTCAGCCCCTCTTAAACATTCATGTGACTCAGCCTACTTTCATAAAATCAAAATGGAATCTCTGCATTTGTTAAAAATCAATTGTGCATTCAAAGGACCTCTTCATACTTGTGTAATCAACTCAGTACTTAAGCACATCTGAACTTGGGATTCGTGTCTATCTCCTCCAAATATTTTTAGAAGTAGTGCTACATCTTAACACATGCTGCCTTAACCCTTTTCTTCAGTATGTGTTCAGGAGGAAGAAGGCATAATGGGGCTGTGGAGACCTTCACCTCTAGCTTATTGATTCAGAATAAAAATAAGCCACAAAGAGTAATTGAGTTATTATTTGATATTTCCTTCGAAGCTTGTGTGTCATGTAATAGTCCAGTCAGTCCTGTTTCTCATGATTGCTCAGAGCGACCACAGCGAACAAGCCGGCAGCATTGGCCGAGATCAGAGGAGCCCCTCCGAGTCCAAAGGGGCCCCCCCTGAGTCTGGACTACTTGGAGGAAGAACCCACTGACCTATTTTCTGGGGAGAACATGTGCTTTCTTTTCTTTTTCCCTTTAAAAAAAATAAAAGTCATATGATTTGTAAAAAGCCAATTTGCTTTAAATAGAAAGTAGTGATTTACCTCTGCATTTTATTCACTCAGGTTCTATAAAAATCTGAACAGACTGTACAACTTTGACCTTCCATAAAACATTGAAAACAATTGGAACTAAAAAGTTAAATCATTTTTCCTCCCTTTTGTGCTTTGCTAAGAAGCTGAAAAACATTCCTTGGCATGCATGTATTTTTTTTTTCCTAGATAAAACCACCATTAGCCTTAAAGAAAATATGCTTCATTATAACATGGAGAAGAGTGTAAATAAACATATATACAGTACTTAAATACTCACCTAGAACATATTTGAATTGTATATTTATTTTTAAATATATTTTGGTTCAGGCCAAGAAACAAAGTCACTTTACTCTGAGATTTGTCCTCTAAATTCAGTAATGAAGTGATCTGTAAAGTGTATGTTTTGCTAATTGGAAGAGTAAACCTGCATATTTCCCACAGACTGCTTATTTTGAAATTTGTTTCTAAACCACAACTTGATCGATTCTTATGGGTAACCAAGAGAGTGGTCAACACTGAGTTAGTGAGTCCATCAAGGAGTGTTGCGTGTTAGGATGCTGTTTGAACACAGGGTGAATGTTTACCACTGTCTTCTCTTAGGTCCAGCCTGGTATCTGACTGTGTCTTTTAGGGAGTGTGTGAAATAGAGCCTAATTCTTAACAGAGGAACCAAAATCCTTTACATAATCACTTTGCACATTTGGACATGTTGGAGAAAATTTACTTTCAAGAAAGAAAATAGTTGGTAATTCACTGCACTCCCAGGAGAGTCACTCAGATGAAGTTTAAAATACTGGGTCCACCCTTAGATCCAGCAGCAAAAGTGCAGTTTTGTTTCTTTGGCAAACAGCCTATGAACTTGACTTCCTTATCTGTAAAATGGGGATAAGGAAATGTGGGCTCTTTTTCAAAGACTATGTAAGAATGGGATGAGATCATGGAGTGTAAAAAAGGCTCCGAAAACATACTTGGGTTTGAAAGTTGTATCAATAAAAGATGGACCGCTCTTTCCTTAAACTCAAGGCCTCTCCTGTTCTCATTTTTCTCTTCATGTCTGTGACAAACCTGTGCTGAGTCATAAGTTTGAACACACTTAACTAGTGTAGAAGAGGAGGCAGATAAATGCCTAAGCAACCCACCCACTCTTCTTAATTTAGAATCTTCGTGGTTCTTTGTTCCTAAGTTTTTTTGGTTGATGGATAGCATCACTCAGTCCTTCTATATCCAAACTGTTTTGTTTTTGTCAATTCCTCAGAGAGGTGTGTTAAAGTCTCCAACTGTGATTGTGAATTTTTCCTTTATGTCTGTCAGTTTTTGTATTTTGAAGCCCTTTTATTAGGTTGGTACACATTTTTAATTTTTCTGTCTTTCTCATGTATAAACCACTAATTATAAAATTTGCTGCTTTATCTCCATTACTACTCTTTGCTTTGAAGTCCATTTTTTATGATCATTCCAGCTTGCTTGTGCTTGCTGTTTGCATGGTATGTTTTTTCTATCCTCTCACTTACCTATTTGTATCTTTATTTTTAAAGTGTCTGTAGTAAGAGCTAAAGAAAGACTGATTAAAAAGAGCAGTAACCAACTCTGTGCTCTCCAGTATGACAGTCTTTGCCTTTTGATTGAAGTGTTTAGTTCACTTTTCCTGTAGTTTTTTGTTGTGTTTTTTTTTTTTTACAGTCAGGATTTTGCTGATGGTATCCTCAAACCATCATTTAACATATATTTCTACTCCCCTCCCCCTTCATATTTGGAGTTAGATCAAGAGGTCTGATCAGGTTTGGTTTAGTTTTATAGTATTAGTGTTGTGCATTTTCTTAGGAGGCAGCTAATATCTGGCATTACCAAGATCAAAATGGTGAAATGGAGAAACTTCCCTCTATTTGGTTACCTTGAAGAACATTTCATATGGGAGTGGCTGGATCAATGCTTGATTCTTATGCCAGTTTAAGAAATAATGAGTTAGTTACCTTAGCACCTTCCAGAGACATCAGGGATTTTTAATGTATATGAATTTATGAGCATTTCTGCCTCTTAGATTTCACCTTAAATTTGCAATAAACCAGCCATTTCCCCTCACTCCCTTGTAAATGGGGAAAAAATACTATGTAAATATTATGACCTTCCCTTATTTCTTCTTCGTGGTGAATTTTCTCTCTTGCTATTGACTATTTTCCTCCACTTTCCCCTCCTTCCTTCCCTCCCTTTCCTTCCTCCCTCACCTAGTTTCTAATATCTTCCTCACCAATTTCACGTTGGTCACCTCTTTCCCATGCCCCAGGGAGCTAGGACATACTCCCGTGGTCTCTGACCCAGTTTTGGAAAGCAGCATCTGAAAGCATTTATTTTGATGGTTTTACAACTAGTTAATCTTTTTCAGTCAGCAACAGGAATACATGGAGGGGAAAGTTCTTCCACATTGCCACAAGTAAGCTCATGCACTTCATGAGCACCCAAGACTTTCAGCCATCTACAGCCAAGCAGGGCTATATGTATTAAGCAGAAGATCATTCTTAGTCTATTTGCTGTAATTCATCTGTATAAAAACATCACATTACCTTCTGATTTTGTTTTCCCTTTAAGTAAACGTTTAACAAAATAGATTTTTTTCTTATCTGAGAAAGGAAAAACATGCCACGTGACTCCAGAGGAAGCCCTGTAGGTAGAGTTTAGCAATTCACCCTCTACTTTTTCTACCAGGTTTCTGTTAGCAATGCAGTTATTTCATGGCCCTTTGCCTGAATAATTCTAAGCTGCTTTTCCAGAGGAAATGAATCAGAAGAACTAGGCTTGATGTGCACTTATGCCTTTGGAGATGTCTCTTGATATTGTGTAAATCTGTAAGGTTTCATTAATGCAAGTACTTTGAATTGTCTGCATATTTTTCAACCTGGTGTTTTGTTTTTTTAATACATTTTTTATTTGATTTCAGAGAGGAAGGGAGAGGGAAATAGAAACATAAATGATGAGAGAATCATTACCTGGCTGCCTCCTGCATGCCCCCTACTGGGGGGGATTGAGCCCGTAACCCGGGCATGTGCCCTTGGCTGGAATCGAACCTGGGACCCTTCAGTCCGCAGGCCAACACTCTATTTACTGAGCCAAACCAGCTAGGGCCAACCTGGTTTTGATAATAAAGTCTGTTTCTGAGATACTTAAAATTTAAAACCATGTGGAATGCGTCAGATAGCAATGCTAGAAAACAGAGAGACACAAACAGGTTTCCATGTTGATAGCCCCCTACCTAATGTCAGAACCTGGGAATAGGAATACGAGTAATGGCTTACTTCAGGGAGGGTCATGAGAGACAACTGCTTTGGGGTGCACTCTAAAAGAGGATCGCTTAGACGTGCAATTAGATGTGCAGTGGCAGTGACAGGAAATGTAGGGTCGCCCTGGACACTGATCTAGTAGAGAAAGATGGTCATTGGGACCTTGGCTAACTTTGTCCCTAGGGGGGTGAATTCTGCTTTGGCTGATATCAAAAACTAGAGAAATTCAGGATCCAGTTACATTTGAAAATCATTTGATCTGAGGTTTATGGTGACTTAGCTGATCAAGCTTCCAGATTAGGCCTAGACTTATTTTATTTTTCATCTGACAAGATATGGCCGTGTGGGACACCCCTTGACCTCTTGTTCTTAGTCTCAGTCACCCAGCCCCGTGTTAGAGAAGTCCCCAAAGCAGAAGCAGATAGAGTATATGAATGACACTTTCTGGTATTCAACATTCATTTGACATCAACTATGCTAAGGGTGGTGATACAACAGTCAACCAAGACAAACGGGCCTGCTTGGTTGGTGCTGGACATGAGGTGAGCTCTGGACAGGCCAGGAGCTCAGAGAGCTATAAATAGAAAGGCAATGAATACTCTTCAAATTTGTTTTACTTGCATACCTCTACCAATTTTGGAGAAATCATGATACCTTAATGGATTTTCTTTTTAAACTCTGAAATCATTATCATTATATTTAAGTAGTTTCAAAAGATACATTTTATACACTTCATCATGTATTATAAATATTGACATTTTAAATTCAAATGTTAGTTGTTCTTTTAAGTGTATCCAGTGAAATTTTGGTATAATAGAGACTTGATAGCCACCATTTTCAGTATTTAAAATTATCTTAAGATTTGTAACAATTGGAAATATTTTATCATTCCTCTTGTTCTTTGAACTCTATTCTACTTCTCCATGGAATTTTATCCTAATATGATTTTTT